AGCGCTCCCAAGGTGGACAGGAGAAACGTTTCAAGGACACAATCAAAACCTCACTGAAGGTCACAGCACGTGGGAGCAGGCTGCGCAAGACAGAGGAAAGTGGCGAACATCTGTCCATAAAGGCCGGTGCCAACACTTGCGAGACAAACAGGATCACTATGGCTAAAGATCGCAGACAAGCCAGGAAGGCCAGAGCTGCCAACCCAACAGCTGCTACTATCCCCTGTCCCCTCTCCCAACCGTAGGATAAATAGTTGTTCCTCGTCGTACCGACGGACGAACACACATTCCACAGATCCCAAGTTCTTTGTCGCAGAAGGTACGCGGGCTCTTGGTACGAGATTGGTCTATAACATCAACGGCTGGTGATCTGCATTTCATATCATTTTTTTATTTCCTTGTATTTTTTGTTTGCTTCTTATTCAGCCTTTTCCTCACCGTCTACTGACATTGCTTGTATTGTTTCAGAACTATCGAATCCTTATTTCAACATCAGCAGCATAACCAGAAAAGGCTTTCTTCAATTTATGAATGGTGGCTGGTGTGATTATTCTAACCGCTTGGCCAGGACGTTTAAACGTTTCGTCCCATTGTACAAAAAGGCTGTTATTCAAGAATACACTCCGTGGTCCAATCTCAATGGATCATGCCATAGACATGTCGGATGGCTATTTTACGCATCCATCGTTCTTAAAGGGTTATCATGAAACAGAGAAGTTCTTGGTGTTTGGATTTCCACTGAAAGCATCACATCCCCCACCAGGCGATGTTGCAATATCCAAAAAAGTCATAGAAATGTGGACAAACTTTGCAAAAACTGGGTATGAATCAGTGTGATTTGAAAAATAGCCCGTCAATACAGAGAAAAAGAGCTTCTCTTATACATACTGTTTGCCTTATTCCAACCCATCACCAACCATTGATTGAGCCAACTCTGTTTTGTTCTGTTTGCAGAGATCCTTACCCGTATGATACACCGGGCCATCAAGAGTCCTGGCCTGAATACGATCCAAAGTCAAGAAAATATTTGTTAATTGAACCCAATTTGAAAGTAAAAAGCAACCTGCGACCTCGTCAAGTGGCATTTTGGAATGATTTTATCCCTTTTTTGAATAAGACCGCATACGAATCATGTGTTACCAACTTTACCAGGTCTCACATCAGCGATTCTGACTGCGGTTTTGGCGCCGAGCTGGAAAGGGGGTCTGACGGAGAGATGGTTGGCGAGGACGTTGAGGAGGATTCTGGTTAGAGTCGCATGAAGTCTATTCCTTTCCTAGGTCTATTCTAAGGGATCTTGTCAAAATAAATCAAACAATAAAATCTCAATGAGAAACTTAAAGATCGTTTGCTTTGTTTTGTGGTAACAATGAAAACAGGGTCGTGACATGTCATACTAGAAATCAGGATTTTAGAATTTATCTTATTTAAATTGAATTGGAAAATAAAGAAATGAAGAGAGCAACAAGCACAACAGAGAAGAATAAGAAGAAAAGATAAGAAAAAAATTAAAATATTAGAAAAAAGAAAGAAAAAATCTTGCCCGACAGCATCGAGACGAGTCGGCGTTTAACGGAAATGCGGAAATGGCATTTTTAAAAACACACAAAATGTGACTTTTCTGGAAGTTTTTGTATAAGCTTCTCATCAATTAACCCGTTGATTTCAGTCGTACGTTATAGGAGATAGTGTTTCAATATGGCACATAGATACAGCATTCAATTGGATGATTTGAATAATTATTCCGATCCATAAAACTCATCTATTTATATAAACTTCATTCTTCGTAAAAAAAAAATATAGATGCACAGAAGACACGACAACAACGAATGCATCGGCCATGAATTCTCCTGGTAACAGTGTGCGATTGACCAGTAGTGAAATTCAAGCAACTAATTTTTGTCGAGGACGTTATTTTGCGAAATTGGAGAAGTCATATTTCGTGTTCATACATTTTCACCTTTTTGTTAAATGACTGTTTTTAAGATATGGGTATTTGTGCTTATATTTACTGGTCATCTTTCATTTCGTCGCGATTTGTAGACCAGTCACGAACATTTGTATTGGGTACTAAGCATCCAACGTCAACACATTCAAAAGCATCCATGTTTCAAAGACTTTTACTTTCGAGGAAAACCCAAAATTTTTGAAATCTTCAAACGTCTCATTAAAAGACTGTGAAAAGATTATTAACAGGTGATAACTTTGTTGAATCAAGTGAAACTGAGCAGGGTGAATTCCACGTAGTTGCTGTGTAGACGCCACAGGCAGACTTCTGTGACATGAGATCTTCAGATACCAGTTTTTGATGTGTTCTTGTCTGATACCATGGATTATGGAACATAAGTTCTAATGTTATACAGACAGGGCGTGGAGTGGTTTATGGTTGGTGTATTGTTTACTATAGGTTCAAATATGATGTGATCTTGTTCAAATATAATTTAAATCTCACAATAGTCAGAAACACAAGGTGCGTTTTCAAGTGCAGAGATTCTGAACACAAGCCATTAAGACACTACTGCTTCCGTTCCAATGTAAGTTTTCGTTTAACGCGTTTATTTATAGGTGTGACTATTAGTTTTATTTCCTCAATAAGTGAGTAGTAATGTGCTATAAATGGCCATCAGAGACTGGCACGTTTTGCTTTAAGTAAAACTGATAAACAAAGTTTTTTTTATTGAAATCCTATATCTATTAGATAGTATACATAATTATAATTTCTGCAGCTCATGAAAAGACCAGCGATCGTTAACACAAAAAGATATACAACATGAATACGTACACCTTGTTTTTACAGCGGGAATAGATCAGGTCAGTGTGAAATCTAATACTCTTTGTTCGCTATATATTACAGTATCACTCTAGCACCCATCACTACCATAGAAATGTGGGCACTGATACTCTTCTGTGCTATTCTCCACAATGTCTTCGCGACCAAGCCAGATCCTATTGCAATTGAAGGGGGTAAAATCCAAGGGTTTG